CCCCAAAACCCCAAAACCCCAAAACCCCAAAACCCCTTAAAATTTTATATATATTGAATAGAAATGGACAAAAAAAGAAAATTTTGGATGCTTAAAGCCCCAGCGACTTTCATTTCTAAGGATATGAAAAATACGAAAATGAAACAGTTTGGATTAAAAACTGTGACTTCACAAGTATTAATGCCTCATACACGGATGCATACATTTTCAAATAGTCGGAGGAAAAGTAAAGCAAAGGGAGCTTTGTCTTTGAAAAAGAAAGCTATATTGAGCCCAAAATAGTTTATCTCCGAATAAAACTATTAATAATCGGATTAAAGGTACCTTCTTAATCAATTTTTAGAGGTAAAACAGGAGATAGTTCAGAAGGAATTACTTAAGAAGTTCGATGAGCTCAATCAAGAAGGTTACTTTATCCTGAATGATTTTGAGTATTTTAAAGAATATACTAGACAAAGCTTTATTTATAAGGAAAGTATCCCAAAAAGCCGCCTGCTTACTACTCAGGATTATCTCGATATTACCGAAGATAGGCTCTTTTTGGCTAAATTTAGGAAGACCTTTACAAAACAAAAGCCAAATATAGTTAATAGTATAAATGAAGACCTTAAGACAAGTAACCCTCCTCATGGAGGGGTTTCATTAACCAAAGGGGCAAGTGAAGCAAATTCTTCAAAGATGGGGATATATTCTCCAAACCTCAATGCTTCTGATATGATCCCCCCTCTACCTCCAAACATCGAGAAAATCTACAATAGTGTAATACAAGTTCTCTAAACTTTATATGATTAATTTAGTTTAAAAGGGCTCAGCCAAATAGTGGAATCCTCCCAAGCACAAGGAGGAAGCCTCGGAAAATCCTAAACCAGTTCAAGAAGACTGAGGCTTTCAATAGGCTTATGAGCACTACTCTTCGTAACAAACGGTATGGTTTCTCTTCATTTTTAGAAAATAAGCACGAGAAGAATCAAGAGATGGGTAAATTTTAGCTTAAATTTTGTTAAATATTATAGCTATCCATGTGGATAGACGACCTTGTGTTTTCGTGTCTAAACTCAACATTCTGGGACCTGTTAATGAATTGGCATTAAACTCTCCTCAGAATAGAACCCATGTAAAGAGTGCTATCCCTTTGGATTTTGAAGGTAAAGGGAGATCTAATGGTAGTGATTTTCAGAAACTTGGGTCAGACGATCATCATAAAGCCTCAAGTTCAAGTAGCAGCTCTGAGAATTGTACTAAGTCTGATAAAAACAGTCTTACTTCTGAGATCACAGACTCTTTAAGAGAAAGTAATACATTAATTTCTTCAAAGCGGAAGACTAAATTTAAACCTACAAAATTTGTAAAAGTGAAAAAGAGGAAATATGAGCTGCCAAATTGTTTAAAGATTCAAGCTAAAATTCCAAGTTTGAAGAAAGCTTTTGTTTCAAAGAATCGAGAACCAATGGAGCCTATCTTATCTAGGCCTAGCAGAAGCAGGTATCCATCAATTCCTAAGAATCATTCTAGGTAACTTAAAAGAAATAACTATAGAAATTTGGGCTATTTGGGTAGGACTATGGCCAGTTTTAATCTGTAATAAAACTACATCAAACAGAGTTTCATGGATATCTGGTCGCAAGCCTCTAACCATAAAACTTCAGCTGAAGCAGTATGAGACTAAGAAATTATCATTTAGGTGGTTTAATTTTCACCTCAATTATTTTCAAGAACTAAGGGGTTTTGGGGTTTTGGGGTTTTGGGG